CACCCTAGCGTTGCTTGCAGCCCATGTTTGCAAGGCGGGCGCGCTCTTCGGTGTTGCTCTCTCTCTCTCTCCAGTGTATGTAGCTCTTACGAACATACCCGTAGGTGAACTGCTGACAGGGTTTGCGATGAGGAGCGATCCGAACGTGGTATTCGGGTGATCAGATCACTACCGCCGAAGCGCAAGCGCTATTTTACAACAAAACTCCTCGCACAGATGCACTCCATCCAACCAAGAAAGAAGACCTTTCGCAAAAGCATGGCGACGCTGCCTCTTTGCGCCGCTGGCGACGCTGTCTCCGTCTCGGCGGGTCTCCGTCGTACGGAGGCTGCCGCCCATGCGAGTCGCATCGGCGGCCGAGACGAGACAGCGTCGCCAGCGGTGCAAAGAGGCACAGCGGCGACGATTTTTTGCGCGTTTTCTTGTCGCCCGAGACTGCTCGACGGCCCAGGCCCCACGCTAGGGCACGCACGGCACCCTCGCCACAGGATTTAGCTCGCCACGACACAACAGTGTGTGTATGTGCTCCGCCGCCGCCGCCGTGCTATCCGTCGCCACGACCTCTGCCCCTCGCCTCTCGCGCCGCGTCGCGGTCATCGGCGGCGGCAGCGCCGGCGTCGTGACCGCGCGCTTCCTCAAGCGTGCTGGCCACGACGCCACCATCTTCGAGTCAGGCTCGACGGTTGGAGGCGTGTGGGCAGACAACCCGACCAACGACGTGGTGTACAAAGGTCTGCACACCAATCTGCCCACGGTCGTGATGCAGTCTCCCGACCTCGACTTTGCCTCCAGCGGTGCCTTCCCTACATCACCAAGGAGATGCTGGGACAGTACATCGAGGCGTACGGGCGCGAGTTCGGGCTGCTGCAGCTGGCCACCTTTGGCGCGACGGTGACGCGCGTCGCGCCCGCCGCGAGCGAAGGCGCGCCTCGGTGGACGGTCGAGTGGACGGTCGACGACGTGGCGCACTCGGACGTCTTCGATGCCGTCGTCGTCGCCACCGGTCACTACAACAAGCCGTACATGCCGTCGCTGCCGGGCGAGGAGAACTGGCTCGCGGGCGACGCGGCACGCCGCATCACCCATTCGCTGCATTACGATGACCCCGACGACTTCCGCGGGCAGAGCGTGCTCGTCGTCGGCGGCCGCTCCTCGGGGGTCGACATCGCGCGGATGCTCTACGGTGTCGCGGAGTGGGTGTATGTGCTAGAGAAGAAGTGCACGAGCGCAACCACGCACGCGGCGGAGGCGGTGACGCACGTGCCGCTCGGCACGCGCCTCTGCCGCAACGGCCGCCTCGCCGCGCCCCGCGGCGGCGGCGGCGGCGGCGGCGAGGAGGAGGAGGAGGTTGAGGGTCCGCCGGTGACGAAGGTGGTGCTCGCGACCGGCTACGTCTACTCCTTCCCCTTCCTCGACGAGACGGCCTGCGGGCTGACCTTCGAGGGGGAGCGGTTCGTGACGCCGCTCTACCAGCACTTCATGGACGCCGGGGGGGCCCTTCCCGGGGGGGTCCTAGGAATGTGTCCGGGGAGTTGTCCTGGACATGTCGCGTAGGCACGCCGCGCGGCCCACCCTCGGCTTCGTCGGCATCCCCCTCGCCGTGCCGTGCCCCATCCCCTTCTTCGAGTGCCAGGCCGCCTTCCTCGCCGAGCAGTGGGCGAAGCCCGACGCAGCGCTCCACGGCGCGGAGGCGACGGCGCGGCGCCAGGCGTGGGTCGCCGCGATGCGCGACGCCGTCGGCAGCCGCGACCAAGACCTCCACTACACCTCGACGAGCGCCCGCGGCCCAGGGACCACCTCCGCGTGGGCCTACATGCGCGAGCTGCTGCGAGCGACGCACGCGACGCGGCCGGTGGACGAGGCGGGCGATTGCTGGCTCGAGCGACCGAGCTGGGAGGCGAGGCTCACCACCGTCGAGGCGGTGTACGCCGACCGCGGCGCGCGCTACCCGAAGCTGCCGTGGGAGGACGACGCGTACCGCCGGTGCGAGTACACCGTCGACTGGGCGAGCGGCACGTGGAGCGTGGACGCGAGCAGGTGCTAGCTGGCGCGGGCAGCGGTGTTTCCGTGGCATAGTCCATAGATTATAGGCGGCGTGCGTGGAGAGAGTTCACCAGGACTCACTCTTAACGTCTTATTCAAAATG